CAATTTTGCTGACCTTTTGCAGACTTTTTTGGGATTCAAATTAAAATAACTATGGAACAGAAAGTAGGGAAATAACGCTTCAATAATTTCTGACCGATGAAAGATTTATAAAAACAAATTTTGCAAATGTCAATCTTTTTCTGCACACATATGCCATTTATAAAATGGTTTGCAGAAAAAACTAAAAAACTGTTATTTCAATCAATTTTTTTGTAAATCGTTCTGCTTTCTTTTTCCGTTTAATTTTCCATTCCAGCAGTTTAAAACAAATCATGCCATTTTTGCGAGCTAGTAGTGCTGAACAAGCAGTTAGGAAGAACACTTTCGATATTGTTGTCTACAGCTTGCTAGCATCCAAATTTTTCCCATTTTAAAGCGGAAACGGCAAAAACAGTTGCGGTTTTTTCTGTTGCAAGTTTCAAAGGCTAAATTAGAACTTTATCAGAAATGGGAGACGAAAAAAATATATAATCGTGAACAGTTTCCTCTATTAGCCAATAGCGAATTTTCTTAAATTTCCGTATTTTTGAGCATTCAAAAGTTTCTACCAAATCAATATAGTTTATTACTACAACTTTTGAAAAAAAATCTCATAAAAAACTAGGTTTGTCACGGAACTTTCAGTCATTGTTGTGAATCAAAATTTCGATATTTTCATTCAATGAAAGAAATTGCAGCTGGCAATTTGAGAAAAGTAAAAATAAAAGAAAAAATCTCAATTAATGAGAACAAAACAATTTTTTCAAAAACAAAAGCTCAACAGATTGATTCAAAAAAATCGTCGTGATTGATTCAAATTTAGAAAAAATGATTTTGAAGAGAATTTTATTTACAAATTGAGAACAATTCTTTTGAAGTTCAGCGAACTGTACTCAAAAATTGCACCTGCTGAAACATATCTTAATACAAATGGGCGGTATTTTTTTTAAAAAAACTTGAAAGCGTTATCAAAAGTGGAATTGTGGTCGAACTAAATATAGGATGAGGATTAAGTTCGAAAATTTGCCTGATTAATCTTTGGGAAAGAAGGTCTTTTCGAAGTCATTAATCATAATTATTTCTAAGAAGCGGACATGTTTATTTTGCAAGCTTTGCTAGATAATCGATAAAATTTGAAGCAATGAAATGAGTCTTAATTTCAAATATGGAAGAAACTGGCAATAAAAACCCTCAATGCTGTCGGCGACCCGTTCAGCTTTTCTTTGTAACTTAATGGGTGGTTGAAATTTGACTATTTGATTTTAAAAAACGTAATAATGCTCATTTTCCTCAAAAGAATCAGATTCCACGAGCGGTCATCAGAATGGGTTAAGTAATCTGTCATAAATTTTTCAAATGTCGTTGGAATCCCGATTCCAAGAAATTTAATAAGTTGGTGTCATACGTTTTTTGCATATGTTTCAATGCGTGCCTGTAGTTGCCTATTTTTGTTCGTAGTCAAAGTGATTTTCGATAATGAGTTTTAGTTTTGTCGGCAACGAGCAATTTATAAAAAAAAAACTTCGGCGAAAGTTTTCTAGGAACAGAAAAAAGCAAATGACAGACCAGGTACATGCTGACGCAAAATTGTGGTTAAAGTATAGAAACTTTTGAGAATAGAGATACAAAATTCTGATAAATTTTGCTTTTTGCTAATAATTTCCGTCGACACTGAAACTTTATGAATTGTTTTCCAAAATAGTCGCATTAAAACATATTGTGAACGCTATGCATAACACTTCCGTGCCTGGGCAAAAAATTTAATTATCCAATGTTTAATCATAGTTAAGTTAAAAACAAACCTAATAGAATTGATTCCTTCCATAAAAAAAATAGTTTTTCTTTCTATAAATAGGTTTTCAAGATTTACAAATCCTATTAATAGAAAAAATTGAAGTAGGCTTAGTTCATAGCAAAATTATCTAACCACTATTATAACTTGCTAAAAATAAATTAAAAAAACAAGACTGCTCGTATCAGGGCGAAGCCCTGAATGTTCCGACTGCCTTTTAAGATTTATGGAGCAGTAATAACATCAAAAAATTAAATTTAATAAAAATAAAATGAAAATTTTTTTCTCTAAAATTTGAAATTTTTTTTATGAAAATCATCCCCCCACACCCCATATAAAGTACAAAAAGATAGATTTCGCTCCTTGTAACAAATCAATTATGGCAAATAAGCTTCCTTCAACCAATTTGGAACGATTTCTAAGACGGATTAACTCTCCGCTTACGCGTTAATAGCGCGAAATATATCGCGAGTTAATTGTCCCAAATTGGCCAAAATGGCAATCTTTAAACCCCCATAACTTTACGAAAAATGATCACAGGTGAAATATCTTTTCAAATTTGAGCTCAGGGCAACAATATCTTTTGAATGATATAAAAACAAATTCCGTCAAAAATGGCTAGTTAAAAAGTCGAAATTTGTCTGAAGAAAAAAAAACCCACCCCGAGCACAAATATTCCGTTACTTTCGTATCGAAAGTCGGAACAATAAAAAAAATAAGGCACACTATTTTTTTACTCACCTTGTTCGCATAGTTCAGCCATGAGTTATGCGTCATCTGCAGAAGAGGTAATTCAGCAGCCAAAGTTAAATGAAAATGGAATAATTGAAAAAACTATCCTCAACTGTAAGTCGATTAAGCGCTTTTTATTGAAAAAACAAAATAAAATGTTTTTTTCAGAAGAACATTTTTAATTCGTAACGACCGCTTTAAAACATCATTATGATCGAAAGTCTTCTGGCGGTTAGTTTTATTGTTCTTTATTGAATAATTTTCTGATTGGAACTTAATTTTTAAACACTATATGAAACACAAATGTCTTAATTGAGCAGAATCTGTTTAAATGAAGATTTTTAAACAGGATGTTTTTGCGCAATGAAGCATTTAGCTTAAAATGTGGCTCCTTTTTGCGAGTTGAGTAATTTTTATTTATGCAAACAAAATCTGAAATTTTCTTCAGTGATGACAAATCTAGTCGACCTTATTTGAAATAGGCGTAGTAAATAATGAGCCGTTAGAGCGATAAAAAATGAATCACTTTCAGTGTAAATAAAGAGCGAAATGCCTTCACAATAATATCTTTCAAGGGAAAAACTAGCAGTACTATTTTAGATTGCACTAAAATACCTCCCCCGGTTAGCATCTGTCAAATATAATATCGGAATTTCAAATTTGCCCAAATTTGATTATTCTTTTTTGTTTTCCGAAAAATAGGGGAGTTGGCAAAAAGTGAATAATTAAAGAGAAAGATTGTGAAATAAACACGCACTGTTGGATAGTGAGTAATATTAACTCATAAATATACGCGGACATTTTAGGCGCGGTAGGGGTAAATTTGAAGGGGCGTGTTCAATTCCCTTGAGGGGGTGATACAGGGTTAATCAAAAAGTATATTACTCTTTATAGAGGGGCTATTTGGGTTATTTTTTATCTGGCTATCGATCCAAAATATAATATCCTGTCACTTTTCACGACGCAATTTATCCCAACTTGGGAATATAAGTTAGAGTTTATAACTTTTTATAACTATTTATGACCCGGCCCCTTTTTTAATATCTTCATTATTTTTTAATAAATTAACATTGTTTGGTGGTGGGATATTTAAAAGTTTATTTGTTCCGGAATTTTGAAGCTCATGATTCAAATTTATCGCATGGGAATTAAAATCAGCAAATTTTAATGGGGCGCCGTCATAATAATTGAGTTTTAAAGTTATTGGAAAAAGGACATTGCCCTTATAAAAATGACTGATAAATATTATTTTCAGGTCATTAGTCGTTCCAAAAGTATATTTTTTCATAATCTTCCGTACTACTTTTTTCAGATCAAAGCTAGATTTGATAAACATGAAAACTATGTTGCTCTATAATTAAATAGTTTTTAATAATCAGATGTTGTTTACTTGATCTGAATTAAAATTGTGCAAAAATTGTTTCAAAATTAATAAAAATGAAGTATAACTTTGTTTGTAGTTGCACAAATAACCAGAAAAGAGCCTTTCGAATCAAATTATACTCGCAATTTTGACGTAAGATCAAGCAATAGGATGACTTAAAAAGGCGGAGCAAAATTTTTTAAACACACTGCGAATTCTAAAAGATTCAAATTGAAAGTGTTATCCCGAAAAAAAACTGTATCAGAAGAAAAACATATTCTACCTAAGTATATCTCTACCTATTTCTACCGAAACCTATTTCAAAATAAGTGTTGATATTGTCAAGTTCTGATGCGGTGATGGCACACCTAAGTTTGGATAGGCCACAAAAGACCAAATAAAATTTCAAATCTACTTGTAATTCAAGAAAAAAAATAGGTAAAAATCAGTTTTTCAACCTTCTTCCACTAAATTTTTCAATCTAACACTAAAATCTAAAATTTTCCGTTCTAAAGCTTCATTCACAAACCTCAAAGTATTCGGAACGTCGTTTTTGCAACATCAGTTTTTTTTGCGCTCAGAGCTGAAGACCTCGGATATTGGTACTTAACAAAGGTCAAAATTGTTTGTATCACGAAGAAAAAAAAGGCACGCAATAAAGGGCCGGCTGCAAAGAAATTGAGATCTGTCAGTAACAGTAATGGCCATTATTATCCCCCGCCCGACCCCTTACTTTTTAAAGTATTTTTTGTCATCGTCACTGTTTGATAATACAATTACTTCATCACTGCAGAAAAAATAGAAAGAAATTGCTTCTTTAAAACCATACAAGTTGATTCTATCTGTATTTGACAATGAAATCAATTTAATGCATCCTCTCAAAGGATGATTGCATATTCATTGATTTTAGGCATCATTCGGCGGTTCACCTGTTGTAGAACAGAATTTTTAAAATCTTTACTAAAATACTTTTCATGAAAAAATGCAAAAATTGCAAAATTTTTTCGAACAAAAATTAAATTAATTTTTCTCACGATTATTCGGAGAAGAAGAAAAGTTTTCCGTCATAATCTTATTTTTTAAGTTCAAGCAATTAGTTGGAGTTCAATGAACTGATAAATGTCAAAAACATACCTTTTCCTCCATCAAAATTGAAAACTGGCTCTGTCTTCTGTAATTATGTTCATCCTCGGTTCTCGAAAAACTTTTCGAGCCTTGCAAACTTATTCTTTTGGTTTCCGAGTTTCCGGGATTGTTGTCGCAGAGTGTGGCGTAAATATGGGACGGGATATCCAGATCGTCAAAATTCTGATAGATATTTTCTTTCTTCAACGTGTCAAAACTATCTTCGCTGAAACTGGTTGGCATGTTTTTGGAAATTTCCAGGGTTATTTTAGTTCCAGGGTTTCTTGACGCTTGACTTTGGGATCTAGACCGAGAAGTCTGGTTAAATTCAGGAGTTGAAGGGCTACAATGCATAATGCTCTGGTAACTTTCTGGATTTTCTGTAAAGTGAGTGAAACTTTCAGCCGCGTAATTCAGTAATTGTGGAGTTGAATATCGTTTTGAAGCCACCAATTTCGAATTATTTTGACCTGCTTCTGATGTTTTTGCGGTCAAAAAAGCACTTGAAATTGCAGATTGGTGACTAAAATTAGGGTTACTGATTTTGTTTCTCAGGTTGGGTTTTAATTGGTTGCCTTTATTGCTATCTCCCAATTGTTGTTTTTGAGATAAAGACGACTGATTGTTTTTGTTATTGTTGTTGTTTTGCGCCATTTGCATCTGCGATAACGAGTTCTTCGAAGGGGGATCAGTGAACTTAAGCATCTTCAAGGCGCAAATTTGAGGGTTTTCTTTTCTTTTATCAAATCACGGGTAGACTGATTTTGAACAAAGACGTCGTTGCATTTAATGGTCTTGTTGGTTCCAAATTCTCTGGGGAAAAGAGACACCCATTAACTTTCGGGTATCGTCTGGTTTAAATGACAAAATGGTGAATCTGAAAAAAAAATTGTTTTCATATTATGCCAAATATGAAAAGTGAACAACTCAATTAAACTTAACATTTTATTAAAACATATAACGATAGAAAAGGAAATTTTAAAAGTCCCGTCCTTGAAAAAACAAAAATATATTTTAAAAAACGAAAAAAAAACCATCATTCCATTTGTAGCTACATGTAACTAAATTTCGATATCATAGCGTTAACTTCCGCAGACATTTGATAAATATGAAAAATATTTTTAATATAAAAAACAATATATCTCTTTTTAACTTTCGACAATTAATTGCACATCAGCCCTGGTTCTCAACACTTTTTAACCTTGAACTTTTCCAGAAAATGTTTCCTAATAACTATTTTTAAGAACTTCCTCAATATAGAATTTGTTATTATCAAATCACGGAAATAAATTGAACGAAGCTCTCAGTTGAGAAAACAAACATTTCTGAAGATAAATTTTTGTTGTAATCGTTAATCAGAAAAAGTCAACCACTACAACTGAACAACCCATTCTAACCATAAGTTGAACAAAGCGACTTTTGATATGAATTGTTTGCTCAGTTTTAGCGATTGGCATAATCTGGTTTGTGACATGCTACTTGCCAAGTACTGCTTAAGCGACATCCTGTTTGTTTGGATATTGATATCTAAGGAGATACTGAGAAAAGACATAAAAACGACCCTTTTCGAATATCAGATGGTTGATCAGCAAAAGCTTTTTGTCTACTAGACAAATTTAAATAGTTAAAACTGGTTGATTTAATCCTCATTTATCTCAAAATTGTTGTTTTCAAAATTTTTCACCGTGTTTATCGAAAAAAAACCGTAAGGTTGTTTTCAGCAACCCCCACTTTCCAACTTTTTTTGGTTTCAGTTTCGTAAGTAGTTATGAGTAGAATAACGATATTGGGCATGATGATTGAAGGTAAACAAAAAAATTTGCCGAGTTGTCTAAAGATGTTTGACACTCAATTCTTATACAGTTTTATACCTACAAAAAATTGGATTGAGTTTCTATGATACGCTTTTTTCATGAACATTGCAAGATGCGCTTTTTTCTACTTAAAGAAAAAAAATGACTTGCTGATTTCTCTTTAGAAATTTTCTGTTTTTTCAAACTTTTTTGTGTTTTGTCCAAAAACAAAAAACAGAGAGTTTTATTTTATCAACAAGGAAAACCAATATGTTACGTGTAAGGAATTTAATCAACCTAATTTATATCATTCCGTTAAACTGTTCGATTGAGGGAGAGAAAGTGAAGAGACACCAGTTTAAGCAAGGATAGCCGGTTGCTCAGCTAGTAGCACAGAATGTTCCGACCATTTTCTTAAAAAGAACATAATTTTTTTTTCAAATTTATGTATTTCGTGGGTGGTGGAAGAAAGCGTAGAATTAAGGCATAATTGACAATCACAGTGAAACAGGCAAACTGGGCAATTGTTAAACAAAAATGTTACGAAAAAAAAAACTTAATAAATAAATTCAGTTAAAAAAACAACTGTTCTTGTTTTTTCCTTATTTTTGTAGTTTTATTTGTTGAACTGTTGAAATCGTTTCCCCAATATTGCGCTGAAAAATGTTTTTATATTATTCGAATAAAACTAAAACTTGAAGACCTATTCATCTATAAAAAGTCTGCTCTGTTAATCTACTTTCTCCAAATTGAAATAAAACTCAAAAGGTTTAGAGCAGTGTTTCTCGACACTGGAAAAACTTTTTCATAAGTTTTACAAATCAGGGCTAAAAAAATTTCAAAATGATATACTTTTCGTTAATTCCATATTTTCTCAATTCGTTCGTATCACTACTGAAAAGGCGTTATTTTGATATATCACCCGGCACTCAGTCCATTTCGATGATAAGTTGTGGCATTTGATTTTTCGAGGAAAATAAAAAGAAAGAGCAAAACATATTTGAAGATAAAGTTCCTCCCCATTTTTCAAATGGTCGTAATCAAAAATGAACAGAAAACAAAAAACCTTGAAAGTTGTGTTTTTTGTTGAAATTTCTTCTTTTTACGCGTTAAAACCTAAAAAATAACAGACAAAAACAAAAACAAAAAAACCGAAGAATAAGACATGCTAGCATTCAAAAAACTCATGACGTCCTGGAAACCAAGTTGACAAGTTGGAAGGCTTAGATATCTTACGTTCAAAGGTGGTTGTAATCGACAAACTTGTGAACAAAAAAATATGTATGTGTATAATATATGTATTTATAAATATATGTCCTACAAGTACAAAAAAATAGACAAATAGCGCTAAATTAATTCAGCACAAAAACCATTTTATTGTGACATTTTTTAGATTGGGCATGATTACCATGTGTGACGAAAAAAAGCGAAATATTTTTTTACGCTAATCTAATTTAGTATCTTCTTTGCAGAAATAGAGTTTTCAAAATCAATTGTGTTTCAACATATACAGAATATATTCAAGTTATTTTGAATATATTGAAGTTATTCTAACATTTCGTACAGTCGGACGTTTCTTGCGTTTTTGTGCTAAGTGCAGTTTTTGGTTTTTTGACTCCTATTAGTCAAAAATGTCTTTTTTAATCACAAACATTTGAAGTCAAAATTACAAAATTATTGTACTGAGCTAAGTTTTGACGTTTAGAAAGGTCTGTATACACACAATTAGATTACTATTATCAGAAATAAAAAAACAGTCTCGAAAAAATTGATGGATCCATGAGGGAAATTTTTCAAACATGTGATTTGATTATTAATGCTCAAAGCTGTTTTAATTTCTTCAGACCATTTTTGAAGTTGAAACAGAATAAAATAACTTCAAATGAACCGATGGTTGGCACGACGTGAGCTTTTTAGAAGAGTAACCTTTTTTAAGGAGACAAACACTGAATTGTACAAAAACAACTACACATTACGAGGCCAAACTGTGCACTGGATAAGCGCACAACTTTGTATCTGTATGTTCCTGGTTTCCAGCGACAAGTCTTAGAACATGTTCCTATATGTCAGTGGATTCCTCGTACAAATATTCAGTGGGTTCCGCGTAAAAATTCCTGTCACGTAAATTTTGTCGGCACATTGATTTTGTTGCGGATTCTGCAACGAGCAAATATAGCTAGTTGTTTCGGATTCCGCAAATGTAAGACGATTCCGCAAATGTAAGTGGGTTCCGCAAATCTATGCTGATTCCGCTTACAACTTGCGGAATCCGCTAAAATTTTGTAGATTCCGCTTGCAGTTTGCGAATTCCACCTACAGTTGCTTAATTTTACTAAACAAATAAGATATTATTTGTTCATGGATTCCACAAACTTGTTCCGGATTTCACACATTTTGTTACGGTTTCCGCAAAATTGATTTTTTTGGAGCAATTTTGAGCAAAACAGTGTTTTAGGTATTTGTCCGTTGAATTCAAAACAGCAAAGAAGACCGAAGGTAAATAGCAATTTTGCGGACTTCGGGACAAATCTGATTTTTGCCTGTTGCGGAATCCGCTTACAATTTACCAAGAAGCACCGTTCGGCCTCGTAATGTAACTTCATAAAAATATATGAACTCAAAAGGGGGAAGATTTTGAAAGTGAGAACCTATTTAAAATTTTACTAAGTAATGATACTCTCATCAGAACAATTATGGTGCAATTACACTTTTTTATTTTGGTGTAAGGCTTTTTAGCACGGCAGGTTAATTTTGCAAATTCTCGCTAAAGAAAAACAAAAATTATCGGAGTGAAAGTGTTTAATATTTTTTCAAAAAATCGGCGGATCAAAATGCAGCAGAAATATAGAAGACAAAATATAAATTTTCCACTTCAACGGAGATGATCAAAATAATTAACTGTTTCGCCTCTGTGAACAAACTATACCATGAAGATAACAGCCAAAGAGGGTGATTTCAATTGAAGTTGAGGGCAAAAATAAAATGTCTACAAACAGACAAAAGAGACACAGGTAAAGATATGGTTATAATACAAGGGGGAGACTAGTTGGCTCCGCGGGTTATTTTGAAGAACAAAACAATTTTTCTCATTTTCCATTCAAAGGGTTAGTCGCAACAAAGGTCTTTGTGGAATTTTATCGGGGTTTTCAGTTTCTAACTAGAGGGTGAAAAATCACAATTGGTAGTGTAGCTTTCCTTATACTAGAAACAGAATAAAGAACTTCAAATGAACCGAATGGTGCCACGATGTGAGCTTTTTGAAGGAGACCAACAATTTGTTTAAAGACTTGATGATCTCGAACATGAAAGCTTTAATCCTAAGTTTCTTTCAATTGATACTGATAATGAAGATAAACTAACGACAAATAATTTTATGAAACTTGCAAAACTGATAATGAAAACTTAGCTGATACTAAAAAGAGATTTAACGATGATAACAAACAAAATAAAAAAAAAATCCAATAAATGATCAAAGTTGGGCTTCATTCTTAATATTATAAAATTATTCAAACACTGATGAGTTTAACAGATGAAACAGAACTGCTTTTGCTTTCAAAATTTCAGTAATAGACCAACAATGGTAATAATAATGAGTAAGGGGTTACAAATTCCACACCCCTCCCCCGGCATTTTGGAGCTCATATTGAAATGTAAAATAAATCGGGATATTTGATGAATAATTGATCAAAAAATCAATAAACTTTGATCTATTTTAAAAGTGTTCAGGGCACTGATTGATGACGATACTACTATAGCACAAGTTAGTTCCAATTGAGTGAATGCAGATTTGGGTTATTCTTTATGGCTGGGTAAACTCAGACTAACTAGGGCATTAATAACAGTCTAATTTTGTCTGCATTTGTCAGTAAGTTGCCCAAATTTACCAAATGAAATATCCAACAAATAGGACCACAAATCAAGTCAATTCTCAAAAGTATATCAATTCATAAGTGATACCATTACCAAGAGTTAAAATCAACAGTACAAATGACATATTGAAAAGCTATCTCTAAGTCTATTTTAAAACAGTTATTGCCTTAAGCGAAGTCTCGTTCAAAAAAATTAAAGCTCAATTCAAGTA